TGAAACGCAGTTTTTTAAACTATAACTTGAGACTAATCGAGCTGGTAGAAGCAATGGATATAAACATGAAATCAATATGTTCAAATTCATATTGGAAATTGACTGAAGAAGAAGAAAAACGCCCAATTTGGACTTTCTTCAGTTTGAATTTTTAATATTGAAAGATTTAACAATGATTGATTGATATTGTTAGTTCGGAGAAAATTTTGAAACTTCCCCTCAATTCAACAATAATCAATAAACTCCAAATAATGGAACAAAGAGGGCTTGAAAATGATTATATTGATATAATTAATAAATGAATATACTCTATATATTATAAAAAACAATAATGAATGAGAAACTTTTTTATACAAGGGAAGCAAGTTTCATAAATGATCAATTTATGAAACAAGTTGCAATTTAATTGGCAGGTACATATTTTGAAAAAATTCATTCCTAAATTGAGAGAGAAATATTTTTAGAAGAGATTAGTTTTTGTTTGTATCTGAAAGTAACTATAATGCATGATTTACATATCTTTGTGAAGAGTTTATTTAGAAATCGAAAGCTTTTTTCCTTCCTTTGGAAGTTTTCCACATTTTTGTATGAAGATGGAGAAATAGAAAGCCATAACCTTTGTTTCCCAAAATCTATAAATCAATAGAACTAAGTCTCAGTCTTAGTCTCCTAATGTTGTTAACTTGGTTATATAGCGAAATGTGCAACGAGAGATGGTAATTTTGTTCTGGTGTGTAAAAATGGTTTATCTAGATTTATTTTACACCGAAAGTTCTGAATTTTACTTTTTGAATATTTTCAGGTTTTGTGAACTGAAGGCGGCTTTTTTCCGAAACGTCAGCAGTTCTTTAAATAAAGCTTGATATTGAAATTTCATTTTTGAAATCATACATTTCATTTACAGCCAAAATTCATATATACGACAAAGGTTCATATTTCGCAATTAGTTTTCGAGATGAACTTTTCAGTTTGTCTTTCATTTCACTTGAGAGCAGATTCACTGTTGATTTATTTCCGTCATCAGAAAATATGATAGAATCACGGTCAGTTTGTTCCCGTCATAATAATTTCAAAACCTCCACCAATCTGAAAACTGTTGATTTTAGAATTTGTATTGACACCAATCAAACTAACTAAAATGTTGGTTATACATTCCAAAACTAACCGCTGTTGTCATATTCATAAAAAATGGTGACATTTGGAACATGGAAATTGATGAACTGAACGTCAACCAATTAACCCAGAGGGTTACTATATAAGTGGTTGATGAGAGGGTACCTGGGGAAAGCGGGAAGGTGAGGTTACTAACAAGGTTTTGACAGCAATTTTAACTATTATTGGAGTTTTATCCCAATACCAAACTGTTATTTCAACACCTTGACACGTGTTTCGATCACCAAGTGATCATCTTCAAGATCAGTTTGATCTTCCTGAAAGTTTTGAGTGAAACGATAAGAAGAGAGAAAAAAGTGGGGTAAGATTTTTTTAGGAGTGTTATATTTTTAGAGATTTTTATAACTTCAATTTTTATGGTTCGATTTACGCTGCATCGGAATGGTGCATTCTACACAACATTTCACCGTCCACAAAAATGTTAAAATTATTCAATATCAACATGTATGACTCTAAAACGTCATAATCTGAAGGAAATGATTCGTTACTTGAAGTTTTAGATAATTTATGAATAAAGAATATTATAAAATGTTGCTAAATGATATTATTTATTGATTGTTTTGAATTGTTTTGAATATTATTATTTTCGATGTATTATTCATGTTGAAATATTCAGTTATATATTTTATGAATAATAAAAAAAATTCAGGGGAAATTTCTAGTAATTGTAGGGATTTTAGGGGTTTTCGATTGGGGTTTTAGGGAGATAAATATTTAATAGTTGGGAACACTTCCATGTTTGTCACATGTCATTTTTTATTCTGTGATTAGTTGAATGTCGTTTATCTGTTGAGTTCTTGAATGTTTGATATTTTCAAAAATAATTTAGAAATATTGTGATTATTGAAAGTGATATTTCTGAAATAAATTCCACTAAACTTTCATTGAAAAAGGTTAATATTTAAACAGATTCTTGTTTTTTTAAAAACAAAATGTCGAAAAAGAAAAAATCAATTAACAAACGATCCCTGTCACCTACCAGTTCACCTGAAATGAATGTTAATCTGGAATTAGGTAAGTAAAAATTATAAACAAATATGTACTTTAA